GATGCTGGTGCCGCCTCCCAAAAGATGCTGGTGCCCCCTCCCAAAAGATGCTGGTGCCCCCTCCCAAAAGATGCTGGTGCCCCCTCCCAAAAGATGCTGGTGCCCCCTCCCAAAAGATGCTGGTGCCCCCTTTGTGCTACGCCACTGTTTGTCGATCCGAATAACAAGTTGAGAAGTCTACTGTGACAGCATGGAGAAAGTTTTACTGTGAAATATACAAGCCTAAGTGTAGTCTCCTTTGTTGGAAGCAAAGAATTCCACTACCGTGTTGGCATCGTGTAGCTTCAACCATTCACTGTAACAATAACTGATAGCTTTTTCAAAATAGATATAATTTTGGGACCCGTTGTGTGAACAGACAAAATTGCTAAAGAAAAATCAGTAAAGTTACCGAATATAAACAAACAAAATCACTAAAGGGTTATCAGTGAAGTTAATAGAATTACTTTGTGAAATACTAAATTTGGAATTGTAAGCGACAGCACTGTAAAAAATTCCTGTACAGATGTCTGCACAGTTTGGAGTTTTTATGTTGTCACAGAAATTTAGAAGTTGCCACTTTTATGTCTGTTACTTTGTTGAAGTGTCTTAGAAGCCAGGGTTACCATTCCTTTTCCAAGTATACAGAGTGATAACAATGTGGTAACCAATGAGTGACAAGTTTAAGCATCTAACCTTAGTATCCATGAACACAGTCAACAACCTGAACAATTATAATCACATATTTCTTGAGGGTAACAACAGCATCAATTCTAACAAAAGAAACATCTGCCTCAAGTTCAACAAGGCCTATTGCTAACTGGATTTGCATTTCTACTTCACTTTTCTATCTAGTCTACACTTGTTGAGAATGAAATCTTACATGCACCAGACACCTCTTCTGCTCTCTTCTCTAATCCACTGCACTCCACGACATTGCTTGATGATTACCAGCAGATCAAGCCTCTTACCAAGCAGCTCAGATGGGTCTAATGTCATGCTGTCATCTCCTAAAGCTCTAAACAGGAATGAACCATAGACGATGGAATCACTAATACACATTTCCATATTAAATGAAGATTCAAAATGTTTCATCTGCAAGATTCCCTCTGAATAGAGCAGACAACTTTGAATTATTATACTACAGGCCTTCTTTAACATGAAATTCACACAGAGTTGAAAAAACTTGCTGAATATAAATAAGTGAAATAAATGTTTTCAAAGTTTGTATTATACAAGCAGATTGTAAAAAAATGCTGTGCTTGTAGGCATCAATGAATATAATATACTTCCCATTTTTTAGCGGAATCCACCCTTCCATGTGGTCAGGGCAGAGATCAACAAAAATGGACAGTTTTCACTTAAAAATCTACCCTTTTAGAAAAATGATACATAACCCTCTCATTTTTATTGAATATATGTAAATGTGGTATCAAAATAATCAGAATATGCTCTTTTCAATGATGTGAAAATTTAGCTTTGTGAATCAAGAGTCAAGATGACCTTTGGCATGGGTCAGTGACCTTTGACCCCATTAAAAAAGTATCATTTTGAAATTTTTGTAAACCAAGTGTTTCTGAAAGTGTGGTTCCTGTTCTAGAAGAATCCACTTAAATCTTTCTGGGTGTTTAAAATAAAAAATAAAAATGTGACTGTTTTTCTACAGTTCGTCAGCTTAAAATATGTCAATTTTGTAGGTATTCATAATAGAAGAATTTGTACCCAAGCACTGAGTTTATGCTCTAAAATGAAATTAACCACTTCCTGATGGGGACTCCGGAATCGGAGACGTATGCTTTATATGCGTGGCCGCGTCTCCGAACTCGGACAAAGGAAACAGGGCCCTCCGAACTCCGAACAAAAGACCAGGCTGCTGGGCATTACTGACATTTTTCACTCTCAAAAGTGGTGATAATCTAGCCTTGTTTTGAAACAGTATACCAGGGTTTGGGGTATTGAGAGCAAATGGATTACCACCGGGGACAAAAGCGCTCCACTACCGCAGCGATGAGCCACACAGCACAGCTGCATGCTAATCTGGCCCCTACTGAAAAGAGGTCAGCAGTGCACTGAGCCAGGTTCGT